TATATATATATATATTTATATTTATCTAAAACCTTATGTTTTGAGTGAGATGCAACCAAACTATTAAGTTTTAAGAATTTAACAAATCATGTAGATTAAAAGCATTAGTTTACAATCCATTCATGCATCTCAAAGCAAATTTAATAAAATTCACCCCAAAACAAATTTACATAATTCCTCCCCATTCATATGTATTTACATATCTATTACCTAAACATTAATGTTTACAAAGATACCAACTAAATCTCTCTTAACACATTAAAAATATTACTATTTTATCTTTTAAAAACTGAAATACACATTTTCATGCTTTAACAAGATGGCATATACATAAATATTGAAATTTAAGTATTAGACATATAAATACATAAGACTTGAGTGGTATGCATTAGATGGAAAAATATTACATCACGACTCCTAACGTAAAGTTACGTTCGGATTGGAATATTCAGTTGTGTTACGGGAATATTTCATCTGCGTTATTTGTAAAAATGATGTGTTATTCGAGTATTATATGATGTTATTCGATTATTTTACGGTGTTATTGGAATATTTCATCGGGTTACTTGATTTGGGGCTGACTGAAGTGTTATTGGAATATATTGGAATATTCCCCGCATTACCTGATTTGGGATTGTGTTATTCCAATAACATGGTGAAAATTGAAATAACACGAGGAATATGTCAAATAACATAGTCTCAAATCAAGTAAAACAGAGAAATATTCAAATAACACTTCAAAATAATCAAATAACATCATATAATACTCGAATAACACATTTTTTTTACAAATAACACAGATGAAATATTCTCATAACAGAATTGAATATTTCAATCCGAACGTAGCTCTACGTTAACAGTCCTGATGTAATATTTTTCCGCATTAGATCATGCATAAATAAATAATTGCATTTAAGAAATCAAAATTGAATGCAAATATTAAAAATGGTCCAAATGAGCCCATCACCATAAAGAGCCATTGAATTTGTAATTATGAAACTATATACATACCCAAAATATCTCAAAAACAATTTTATAAATACCTTTATAACCTTACAAATTAAAGAATTAAAATTAAACAAAGAAAAAAAAAACCTTTTTTTTCCCTACCGAAATGTCGATCAAAGCATAGAATCCATGATTTCATCTTTGCCGGCAATCATCCCTCCGTCTCAGTGGTGGCGGCCGGCGACGACGAGATGGCCGGAGCCGGTGGCGGCAGCGGCGATGAGAGGTGCTGTAGTTGCCGGAGAAATAGGATACGACGGATGTCGGAAAGCCGACGGCGGAGTGCGGCGGATTCCGATCGGAGAAGTTCGTTATTGCAATGGAGGACGACGAAAACGCCGGATAACGTGGCGATTTTGTCTGAAAGAGCGTGATTTTCGAGACGGAGGCGACCGACGCGACTGCGAAGGTCTTCGAGATGACGTTGCTTTCGCATTCGGGAGCGGCGAGCGGATTCGCGATTCGAGATCATGCGGCGGAGACGGCGGTGGTCAGAATCGGACGGCGGGGACGGTTCGCCGGCGGCGAACTCCATTGAAGGGAAGGGTGGGGAGGTCAAGGATTGGCGAAGGGGCACAATGGGCGGGTTATTTATGGGGGAAATGTTTTATTAATTTTAATAAAGAAATATTAATTATTATTTGAGATCATTTTAATATTTTCATAGAAGATTTCTTCATTGTATGAAGATGGTGATTAATAATGTTTAATAATATTTTGGCATAACTCTTATGTATTTACATATCTTATACCTAGGGGTGTAAACGAGCTGACTCGCTCGTGTTAGGCTCGTTTATATTTGGAGCTAAAAAAGTGTGTTTATATTCAATCTGTTTGCTTAGCGAGCCGAACACGAGCCGTTCACGAAGAAATAGTCGTTTTGAGAACCCTAATCACATAGCCATAAGATGTTAAAGATTGAGGCAAGATTTAAAACATCATTTGAATCTAATTTAATAATTTTTATTCTATTTTATTCATAAATACTTTTAATTGATTATAAATCTTTATAGCTTTGTAGTCAATTAAAATTTTTAAAATTACTACTCATCATAGATATATATATATATATAATTGATTAGTAGTATTTCGAGCCAAAACGAGCAGAACACGAACGAACAAATATTGTTCGTGTTGTTCGTGTTCAGCTCATTAACTTAGTGAATGAGCCGAGCACAAGCTTCTTAACAAGCCGAACACGAGCTGTTCGCGAACAACAAGCCGTTTTGACAGCCCTGCTTATACCTTAGTTTTAGTATTTATATTTGTAGTATTTTGGTATCATAAATATCTGCATGAAAATGTGTATTCACTATTAAAAAGTAATAGTTTTGATGTGATATTAAATATTGGAGTGATATGAATGTGATTATGAAGAATTAGGTCTTAGACATGTGAATAAGTAAGAATTGTTCGGTATATTTGTAAATGCCCATTAAAAATATTATATCTTAAATTTAATGTATGTGGATAGATTTTAAAAAATAAATATTTACCTAGTTTATAACAAATTAGAGTAGGATATTTTGATATTTTTAAAAAAAGCTATATATTACAACAATTTATAATAAAAATTAAAAATAAATGTTGAATTTATTAAATTTATTTTTGGATTAATATAATTCATAAACATTAAATTAATACTTATAATAAATTAATTGTAAAGTAAATTCATTAAATTTTTATATAGAAAAATTATTTAGATACCACACAATTAATTTACATTTATAACAATTTAGTGTCATATAACTCTGAACAAAATGATGTATTTCATCATTTAAAAGCTAATAATAAGATATATAAGATAGTTAAACATATAAGAATTGTGTGTCATGCATATAAATGCCCCTTATAAATTATTATCTATAAATAAAATGATAACTCTATATAACTTTATATAAAATAAAAATACAACTAGAAGTGTAAGAAGGTGTATTTCAATTTTTAACGTAATATTTGATACCAAAATTTTAATATTTATATTTATAACAATTTTGTGTCATAAATTTATGTGTAAGAAGGTGTATTTCACTTTTAAAAACTATGCAATAACAATTTTTAACGTAATATTAAAGATTAAGGGCCCGTCTGGGGTAGCTTAGAAGTGCGGGGACGTTTTCGAAAACGCTGCGGTACCATTGAACCCCCTGGTCGACCCGCGTGCCGCGTTTCATGATAAGCTGCTTATCTTGAAACACACAAGCTGCCCTAAACGCATACAAGATATCTTAGTTTAACCATCAAAAATATAGACATATAAGAATTGTGGTACACGTATGTAAATTACTCAGATATAAATTGATTTGCATATTTTATTGTAGTATATATAAGTTTATTTATGCAAGTCATCTAAGTTTAGTAGTTGAAAACATTGTAGTTCAACCAAGAGTTTCTAAGTTCAAGACCTTGCTCGTGCGGTGTGCATTTCTTTGTGATTAATTATGCTTCATTTTCCCAAAAAAACAATATTAAAGCTTATATTTCAATTTAAAAAAATTGATTTTTTACATTATATAAGATTATGTAGTCATAATTTAATTAAAAAATAATAATTATTGAGACTTTTGTTATTGAGAGGCATTTATATAAATCCCATATAATTCTTATATATTTACATATTCAATACATCAACTCTACTATTTATATTTATACCGCACAAATATTACATATCATGTAAAAATATCACTAAATCATATATAAATCATATATAAGTAAAGGTAAAGGAGCATAAATATATATAAATTAAAATTTAGGCGTTAAATATGTAAATGCATAAAAATTAGGTGGTATGTAGGGGTGTAAACAAACAGAGCTTGTGTTCGTGTTCGGTTCGTTTGAAATTTAGATTGTTTGAAATAAGCTCGTGTTCGAAATTAATCGTGAAGTCACTATTCGTGTTCGTTTCTTAACGAACAAGCCCAACGCGAGTTGTTCATGAACGTCAATCTAGTTTGAGATCACTAATATTAATATATATAAATAATATATTATATTAATTATCTAATTTATATTATATAAATATATAATATCTATATTAGTATATTACTAATATAATATATTAATAATATTATTATTATTAATTTATTATATATTATAATTTATAAAATTTACATACTTATTTTATATCTTGAACAATAACGATTCGAACACAAACGAACACATCACTGTTCGCGTTTGGTTCATTTAACTAACCGAACGAAAAAAATTTATTCACGTTCGTCTCGTTTACTTATTGAACGAATGAACAAGAACTCATTGACGAACCGAACACGAACAGCTAGTGACATGTATGCAAATCATCTTCTCATTAATAATAATTACATTGCATTTTTATTATCTTATATATATATTTTAGGTATTTTGTTTATTAGGAGGTGGGGTCCACCAGCACGTACGGCATTTCGGTGGGGCCCACGCCGGCGGCTTGTTTTCAGCCATGACCGGGCACGAGAATGGTGATATTGGAGTGGCTCAATTTGGCTGATTTGGTCACGCGGACTGTACGTGTGACGGCCGTCTTTATAATTTTTTTTTTTTTTTCAATTAAAAATCCGGAAATTATTCTTCAAAAATTAGAATAATGTGAAATATTATTTTATTAAAATAATTAAAAAATAAATAGAAAAAATATGAAAAGGAACAAAATTTTTAAATGATAATTAATAAAAGATAAAACTCATTGGCTTTAATGATATATTATATTAAGAATGATTGCAAATATCCATCCTTCTTCTTAATTAGAGAGGACGAGATTACAAATGACATCGCATAAATTCAATCTTATATGATTGTAGCGATGAAAATCGAAGAACGATGGTTGACAATCAATAGTGATTCGGTGATAGAATTAAAAAAAAAAAGAGGTGAATTGGTGATATTGATATCCATGTAATGGATAAAATATTAAATCATGAGTCCTGATGTAAACTGCATCATGATTCCAACCATAATATGCCACGTGTACGGTCCAACACTATTGAAGAAAAAAAAAACTAAATAATTTAATGCATGACAGAATCGGATCGTACACGTGACACATTATGATTAAAATTCGAATACAATTTTACATTATAACTCCTTGTATAATTTTTTTTTTTTTCATGTAATGACAATGATTGGATAATGACAGATGAATGATAATGATCAATGTCTACCGAAGGTTAATGGGTGATGACATTACTGTTTAATGGTGCAACCAACGAGCTATGCGGACATGCGAACCAACTGGAGTTTGACTCAATAAGTGGCTCGCGAGCTAAACTCAATGAGTTAAAATGTAAATATGAAATTTTAGATGTTAGATATGGTATGTATGTAAATTTTTGAATTAAAAACAAAATTATAAATTTAGTACAGACCGAAAGGAATAATCTGGCCGCAAGACATCCACAACAAAATAAAACAAAAAACACCAAATTTTGCAACCTTTGAATGAATTTAATTGCAAAAAATGTGAGAAAACCATTAAAATATCAAATTAATGAATAGATTCACAATTATCTCCTAATTTATTTATTTTTCATTGGGAGATTTACATAAAGACCACTCAAATCCTATGTATTTACATATATGACACCTAAACTTTATTTTTTTACAAACTACACCTAGAAATGAAAAAGGTGAATTTCACTTTTTAAAAATCAAAATATTGGCATCATTTATGTGATATGAAAGATTTGGGTGGTATAGACGTAAAAAAAAAAAAATTTGGGTGTTACATGTAAATACATGGGAATAGACTGGTATGTTAATGCCCATTTACATTGAGACCAGTCTGCGGAATGTATGATAAATGGCAATTCAAAGACATCCACAAGTCAAGAAACTCATAAAAATGCCGAAGTAAAATGGGAATGGAGAGATTCATAGTGGGGTTTTAGGCCATGAGATAATGTGTAATCAAGCCAACTCACGAGCCAACTAGGAGACAATTTGGGTCGAGCTTAAACCCGAGCTTGTACATTATAGGAGCTAGGGCTGTCAAAAAAGCTCGTTGTTCGCGAACAGTTCGTGTTCGGTTCGTCAATGAGTTCGTGTTCGATTCGTTCGATAAGTAAACGAGACAAACGCGAACAAATTTTTTTCGTTCGGTTAGTTAAACGAACCAAACATGAACAGTAATGCGTTCGTTCGTGTTCGAATCGTTATTGTTTGAAATATAAAATATCATAAAATAATTATATATAAAAAATTTATTATATTTTAAAACATTAAATTTTATAAATTATAATATATAATAAAATAATAATAATAATATATTAATATACTATAGTAGTAATATACTAATATAGATATTGTATATTTATATAATATAAGTTATATAATTAATATATAATATTATTTTTATATATTAATATTAGGGATGTCAAACTGGCTCGTCGTTCGCGAATAGCTCGTGTTCGGTTCGTGTTCGGTTCGTGTTCGGCTCGTTCGTTAAGAAACGAACACGAGCTTATTTCAAATAAACTAAATTTTAAACGAACCGAACACGAACACAAGCTTTGTTCGTTCGTGTTCGGTTCGTTTACACCCCTAATAGGAGCTATATGAGCTCAGGCCTAGGGCTTGATAAACTCGACTTGCAAACTTGTTAATGAATAAAATTAAGCTCAGCTCGCTTACACCCCTAGAATCATATCGATTTGAAGACATCAGCAATTCGAATAAAACCCTGAAATGATAAGAAGAAAGTACATATTCTCAAAAGGAAGAGTTTTAGTCGAGTTCATTCATACCATATGCTCTACAAGAGGAAGCAAATATCGAGTCACGGGACAGTCGATGACTCGTTTAACAACCTATTGAACTCTTAATACCCGTAAACTCCCGATGAATTAAATGACTAACAAAGACAAATATGGTACTCATCATAGATGGTTAACATACAATCATAATAAAAAAAAAAGGGGCATTTAGATACATACCTCCCAATTCCTATGGATTTATATATCTAAAATCTAAATTTTACTTTATATATCTATACCACCAAAATCTTTCATATCACATAAAAATACTATCATTTTAACTTCTAAAAGAGTAAAGTATGCCTTTCCATGCATAGATAAGGTAGAATACATGTAAAAATTAAAGTTTAGAAGTTAAATCTGCAAATAAATAGGAATTGAGTAGTGTGTATGTAAATCTTCCTAAGAAAATGATGATTTCATCATAGTTTTGAGGGGAGTTTGTCCAAAGAAACCTGCTTGCTGCGTTGCTTGGCCTTAAATCTGTAAAGAATATTGTGTGCTTCCTCAAAATAAGGATTAGTAGCAATCTTTACATTCTCAATCCATTGCATTATCTTCAGGAAAGGTCCCAAAATTCTCTCTCGATCATTGTCAGGAAGAACCTGAACATGAAGAACAGAAGATCAACTATGGAGAGAAGTCAAGAGCTTTCAATAGCAAAGAAAGAAATTTTTTTACTATATATTAAAATATTCAAAAGAAAACTTGAAAGTAAATATGTTTTCGGAAACTCTCATTAGTAATTCACTTTCAGTTTTAGAATTTAAATAATAGTACTCATCTAAAATTTAACTATTTGAATCAAGCTTCTTTGTTTCAGTATACAATTCTTGCAGGATTGTGAAGCCATAATGCAGCTGATTGCCTTTGACAAGATATCAGAATTTACGACTTGCATTAGTATATAAATATTAAAATAATGACGTGTACGAATGTCAAAAAAAAGGAAAATTTGCATGGATATCACAAAATTCTTATGTATTTACATATCTAACACCCAGAGTTCTATATTTACACTTATAAAACCTTGATGTCATGAACTTATGCATGAAAATGTGCCTTTCACTTTTAAAATGATACTGATAATGATATTTTTATATGATGTTAAAGTGGTATGCATGTAAAGATGAATGTCCAAGTGCTAGATATGTAGATACATAGAAATTTTTGTGGTATTTATGTAAATGCACCAACAAATAAGAACTGCTATGATGAAAAAGCATTAAAAGTAAGAACAAAGACTCATTTTTAAAAGCAGATTGGAAACCTGAAAGTCATCACTATTTTCATAATTAGTTGGCAAATACAGCTTGTTAAGAAATATTATACCAACAAAGCTGTCTATTTGCAAAATTTATCCAGGATTCAAGCTAGATTTAAAAAAATTCCGGTTAAATAAGTTTATTTAAGGATTTCCTAGATTCTACTTTATACCAGACAGACAAGTATCTGAAATAAAGGCTGCCAGAATATTCTAAAATCATGGCTGAATATATAATTACCTCAAATTGCATAATTTCACAAACGAGACTGAGATCTGCAATTGATGGCTGGGGGTTTCCCAATAAGAATCTTGCGTCGTCTTTAAGCCAAATGGATTCAATTTTTGAAAGAGATGATAGCACAAATTTCTCAGCTTCACTTGCAGCTTGACTATCCAATGGAAGACCCAATGCAGGCCCTAGTATAGTGCTTTGAACAAGAGCGGCTGCATTGAAATAAAGAATGGCGTAGAAAAGTTGGAAGTGAAACCTTGCATCAAATAATCAAGTTCCCAAAGAACATATGGATGAGAAAAGTTATTAGGTAATAAATAATGAGAACCTGTTTGAGATCACTTTTGTTTTTATTTTTTATTTTTTATGTTTGTTTAGTACATTTTTTGTATATTCTTATTTTTATTTTTAAAAAATAAATTAACTTGTTTTTAAAGACACTTAAAAATATCTCGTAATTATTTTGAGTATTTTTAAAAATAACTAAACATAACATATCAAACAGGTTTAATTTTAAAAATATAAATTAAATAAATTAATTTTTTTATTAAAAATATATATATAAGAGTGATCCCAAATGGCCTCTGATATTTTCTGATTTAACATGGGCATCCATCAATCCATTCATAACGGTTAACAAAAAGATGCATCAATAAAATGACATAAAACTAAATTAACCTCTATCTAAAAACGGCTCAAGAAAATTCAATGTGGTAAACTAATAAACAACACATCTGACACTTTATACAGATTGCAAAGAAAATGTTTCAGAAAGCTTAATCCCAGGTCATTAGAAGTTTTGGACAAGACTATGAATGCTTATAATGACAACAAATCTATTTAACTCAGAATGTAAAGGCTTTAAGAGCCACACAAAAAAACATAACCAAGATAATCTGCTAATCACTAGAAAACTGGAAAAATAAGCATGATCTCCAAATCAATTTAATGATAAAACCATTAAAAAAACAAAATCAAATTATCATTCTATTCATGTGGATACACCTCTTTCATAATCAATGCTGTAACAGCCAGTATATTCAGGCCGCATTTGTTTCCACTTCTTCATTGGCGTTTAAAACCACATCCGCCGAATGCTTGTTTGATTCGTGAGTGTCGGCGCTTAAAAGGGGGAAAAAAAAGTTTTTTTTTTAAGAGTTTGGGGGTCGCCCGTAAGAAGCTGTCGGTCGCCGGAATCGAAATCCCGTTGCCCGCTTCGGAAGGACTTTTTAATT